CACTCCAGGTGACATCACAGAGAGAACTCCTCCTCTGACCTCCATGCATCTGCCATGTTGTAAAAACTAAGACCTCAGGCTGAAGGTGTGGAGTCATGAGTCTGGCCTTCCCTACACCTGCATGCAGGAAGGACAGTCGTGTGCCCAAGCCGGACCCGAGCTGCCACACTCGAGGCCATGATGGCCAGGCGAGGCGTGAGATCCAAGCCCGGGAGAGAGTTAAGTGGACTGTGCGAGGGGCCTTTCTCTGAGTACATCACCAAGTCGGGACCCAAACTGGTCTCCATGAAATGTGTAATATTGCTAACTATTTGGTGCTATGGATTTTCAGTGGAGCCAGAAGTTGACAAACTGGGAGAGCTCTTTATAGACTTCTAAAGAAAAGAAAATGTGTTTCATTTGTTGAGGTTATTTTTGTCCTCTGAAAGTTTATGTGACATATCCTCGCTCTATTTTGAGGACTGACTTCTTTTCACTTATGTAAGCTCTGGCTTCAAAGTTTAGTCCTTCTGCCTCTAACCTCTGTCCTGGTCCCCTCTCTTTGACAAGGACGAGTTAGAAACCACCTACTGAACCCATGTGGTTTGTAAGAAGCTGGGTGGGACTGTGTAGACTTTTAGCTTTATCTGTTTCTCTTCTGTTGTCTAAGTCTTCGCCTTTGGTTTTGTTTCTTTTTTGGGCTCTTGATGGCTTAATTGTAAAATTAATATTGTGGTTTTTCAGAAACTAAGCGCACAGTCTGCCTGGAGGCACGGTGCCCGCCTAGTGTGTACAAGGCCCTGGGTTCCATCCCCAGCGCTGCAGAAACAAAAATAGTAAAAAGAAAAAAATCCTGCCTCCCTCCCTTGTCACAATTTTTGGAGTTAACTACTGTTGATAGTTTTTTGTTGTTGCTTTGTTTCTTGTTTTTTGATTTTTGATACAGGAGCTTGCTAAGCAGTTTGGACTTAGGGTTATCCTCCTGTCTCAGCTTCCCCAGTGCTGCAATTACAGGCAAAAACATAGGGATTATTGTTGATAATTTTTAAACCTAATACTTATGTTTTTAGATATTGCTAAAAATAAAACACTATGAAATTGAAGACTCTTGAACACTTCATTTTTATTTTTATTGTTTTATTTTTAATGTATTTAGTACAGAGTCTCAGACTTGGAGTGATTCTCCTGTTTTCAGCCTGCCAAGTGCTGGGATTATAAGCACACACCACTGTGTCCAGTCTCAGTTGCCATCTCAGGACGCCCCAGGGGTGGGGCCAACACGGCACGCCAGGGATTGAACCCTGGCCCCTGTGCTCTGCCTAAGCAGGCGCTTTAGTCTGCTGAGCTATCTGGCCAGCCCTGAGCACTTTTATTTTTAAAACCTTATTCCATTCCCTCCTTTCCTAGAGGTAAATGTTAGCTTGAATTTTCAGGTGTGTTTTAATGTTCTTAATACAAAATTTCTAAAATGCTATTCAACTGGTTCAAGATTTTATACACAATCAAAGGAAAAATCAAAATGGAGCAACATTTATTCCAACGGTAAATAGGGAGGCAGGAGACCTTTGTTAACCAGACCTCAGACAGCTCAGCAGGGGAACCTTTGACTTCAGAGCTCCCCAAGGGAACAGCTGTTTAAACCCCCTTAATCCCTGCTGACCTTCTAAGCCTGAGGCCACACCCTGCCCTCTGCACTGTTGACTGCTTAACTTCCCACAGGGCTGAGGGCTAAAGCCATCATCTTAGAAAACCTCAGTCTTCAGATGCTGCTGCTGTAATAATCTTTCTGTTGAAATTCTGTTCTCTTGAAATTTTATAAATATATATTGAAGCTTCTCAATCTTTATGTATCATTAGCTCTGCGCTGTACATATATTCCTTTGGTGTCTCTGTATGCTATATTCTGGGAAAAGTCCTTAATACTATCACCTAACTCCCAGTGTTTGTTTAAATTATTAATATATCTAGTTCAGAACTAACTATTGTTTTCTTTTGTTGTTTTGGTTCCAATGTCGTTTTTTTCCAAAATAAAGTTTTAATTGTTGTTTTCATTCACTTCTTATGTTCCCTGAATAAATTTTTGTACTTTTACATGTGACAGTTTAATCATAAGTACTTTTGACAATAATTAAAATTAACAGGGGCCTGCCCTTAGCTCAGTTGTTTAAGCGCCTGCTCATGCAAAGCAGTGAGGAGCAGGATACCGCAGTTTGATCCCCAGCTCCGCCTGCCTTACCAGACCTGCCCTTCAGGCAGCCTGAGCCACCAAAAAAATAAAAAATAAATAAATAAAATAAAATTATCATTAGATTGCTCATAAAATTAAGTTTTTGAATGAATTGAAATTTTGATTGTTGATTATTCAGCTGCCATTTTTGGTTGTGTGTGTGTGTGTGTGCGCGCGTGCATGTGTGTGTGCGTGTACCTTTTCTGCAGTCCTGGAGATTGACCCAAGGGTTTCATACATGCTAGGCAAGTGCTCTAGCACTGAGCTACATCCCCAGTTCTTTGTTGAATTTTTTTTCCTTTTAATTTATTAATTTTAATCCTGCTCCAGGCTGGTCGTAAGGTTGCAGGTCACCTGCGTCGGCCTCCAGAGTGGTTGGGACTTCGGGGGTCCATCACTATGCCTGTGTCCTCGGGCACTGTGATGTGCGGGCTCATCCTGCCATGACTTAACGTCTGCTTTCTCCTATTGGGTTGTGGCTGCCTCTCTAGAGTGGGAGGGGCTCGCGCCCTCTCGGGCCTCAGTCCTGGGTCCACCTGTTCTGCGGTCACACAGTCCACTGCTCTTCAGGCCTGCAGTGAGCCCCACGGCCAGGCCCGTCATCCTGGGGCACCCACAGCCGCAGCTGCGCCTCGCTCTCTGTTCACACTGCCGGCCTGGTTTTACGTCGGCAAATCTGCTTGCCAGCCATGCGGTTCTTTCTTTCTTCTGTTATTTTCTAGCAACCCAATAAACTCTGTGTCTGATTTTCGCGGCCAGGGAACACAAAAGCATGAGCTATATCCTCTTGATGGAAAGTAAAATGTTTACCACTGAGAAGTAACTTCCTACATTTCCAAAAGGCTTAAATATTCCTTATGGTTGGAGTCATATAGAATTTTGAAACAATGATAGCATTGCCTAGTGTTTTCTTGTTAGGCCTTTTTATTTAAATGTTACAGTATAAAATATTCCCTTTAATAATAACACATCTATTTATATATGAGTACCTTACATTGTGAGTGCACTCTGTGCCTTCTACTGTGCCAGGCAGTAGGCATATGTATGAATAAAACTAAGCTCCTGAACTTAAAGCAGCTTACATTCTCCTAGGGAGAGATGGATAATATGCAAAAAAGTAAACATAAAATTATAGACTCTATTAAGATGAAAGTGGAGTTGGTATCAAAATATGGAGGGTTCTGATCCTCAGGAAGATGAGGTGAGTGTCCTTTACCCTGTTCCTCCCACTGATTTCATCTGTAATCTCGGGCAGAGTACCTGGAGCTGCTGCCAATGGCCTTTAACATCCAAATGGTCCAAAAAGAATTGGAGAACCCAGGTGTGGTGGCCCATGGCTGTGACTGCAGCACTGGGGAGGTTGACCCAGGAGGATCACCAGGAACTCAAGGGCAGCCTGGGCCACATAGTGAGTTCAAGGCCAGCCTGAACTATACAGCAAGAGCCTATCTCAAAAAAAAAAAAAAAAAAATTGGGGAGACAGTTCTACCAAGCAAGAAACAAGTTTGCCATTTCTCCCCAGGAAATGCCTGACATGAAATCAGAACTAACCCAGACATAAGCACTGGGTAGAGACAGGAGAAATCAAAAGAAGATTCTTTCTGCCATTCTGGTAGCCTGTGGTTTCACTGACCACTAAGCCTTCTGTGTCATGTGAGTTAATAAGGAAAAGCTGGGTGTGGTAGCACAACCTGTAATCCCACATGTAAGAGTCTGAGGTGGGAGGTTGTAATGTTTGAGAGCATCCTGGGCAACTTCACAAGACCCTGTCTCAAAATTTTTTATATTTTTTATTAATATTCATTTATTTGGTATAGGGTCTCACTACACAGCTCAGACTTGTAGTGATCCTCCTGTCTCAGTCTCCCCAGCGCTGGGATTACAGGTGTGTGCCACCCTGCCCAGTTTCAGTTAGCGACATGGTCAGCCCAGGGTTCCTAGGCCCACACGGCATGCAGTACTGGGGATCAAACCCAGGTCCTTATGCTTGCAGGGCAGGTGCTTAGACCACTGAGCTATCTCCTCAGCCCTGTCTCAGAATTTTAAAAATTCTGAGGGGATGGAGCTCGGTGGTAGAGCACCTGGCTAGCCTGTGATCCTGGATTCAGTCCCCAGGACCACAAAAACAACAAAAATAAGAATACACCCCAAGATATAACTATAATCAGATAACCTCAGAAAAAGGAAAATGTGAAATATATGATCTATAAAACATGTTTCGGCCCAACTAGTAATTCACAAAGAAGCAATAATGAGATCCAAATTTGTTTTTTCTTTTTTTCATGTGGTGCTTAATATGGTATTTCTTTTTTTAAAAGTTTTATAAACATACTAAATGTATATATTTATGGGCTCCTATTTCTTACTGCACATTTGAATAGAGGATTCATGGTGGTGACTTCTAAAATATATAGCTTTTAAAACTGGAAGGAAGGCCAGCGAGGTAGCTCAGAGGTCTAAAGCGCCTGCTTAGGCGAGCTTAGGCAAGTGCAAGGACTGCGGATGCATCCCCAGCACTACACATTGCACCAGCCCTGCCCCAGGGTGGGCTGAGCTGGCCACAAAACAATCAATAAATAAATAAATAAAACTAGAAGGAAGAAGTTAGCATACTGGATTCTTATTTTTTTCTTTGTGATTTACATGGTTTTTTGTTTGTTTGTTTTTTTTTTTTTTGCATTTGTAATGTATTGATTTTATAGAAAAATGTTCTATGGCTGTGTAGATAACACTGCTGAAGGCACATGTTCACCCATCAAGTGACACTTTTCTTCCCCTGGGTACTGACCTGCAGGTGTTCCCTCTGGCACATGTGTGTAAGGACACAAAGAAGGCGACATTAATTAACCCCCAAAGAGTGAAACTCAATCTCTACAAGCAGAAAGTGGAGCAGGCCATCAAGTCCTATGAAAAGTGAGTATTATTCCCAACTACTCTTTCATGGGTATGGAATTTGTTTTCTTACTTTAGCTGAGATTTTTCTTCTTGGAAACAGCCAGTGAGAAACTTTTGAGCACCAGCCTCAACAGGAACAGCTGACACAGGGACTCCCTCATTAAGATCTTTATCTGAATATTTTCCATAGAGTCTTAAGGAATCCTTCCTCCCTTTCCAGGCTGCGTACATCTCGTGTTTCCATGAAATCTTTAAAATTTCCCTTTCAGCACAGTGAACCTGATCGTGGTCGCATCGAATGTCCAGTAAAGTGACTAATGAAACTCCACAGGGATGAGCTACAGTCAGCTGGCTCTGGCCTGGCTTTTTTGTGAGTGTTCATGCAGCCAGCACAGATGGAAAATATTCAGGGAAAAAATCGCCTTTGCACTGAACATGTACAGATCTTGTTTTCTTGTTGAGACCCCCTATGCCGCCCAACACAACAGTTAATTTGCATAGTGGTGACGCTGCCTTAGATACTACCAGTCATCTGGAGAGGTCTGTGAGAGGCCCTGTGCAGGCCGGGTGCACATTCTACACCATTTTATGTAGAAGACATGAGCATTTATGGATTTGGGGATCGGAGAAGCAGGAGGGGTTGTTCCCAAAACCAGCTCTCTCTGCAGATACCGAGGAACGACTGTGTAGGTGCTCGTTATCCTTAAATTGGGCATCAAATTCGTGACGGTGATCAAGCTGACTGTAGTGTGAACGATGCTCTTGCATAGTCCCTGCGCCCACACGAGAAGCGAGCCTCTCCTCTCAGCAGAGGGCCGGGTCATGGCCTTGTCGCGGCCTCATCATGTGCACCCAGCAGAGTCATCCTCAGCGCTCAGTGCTCTCGTAAAGGTCCAAGGATCCCTGCTTCCATGGGCAAGCGCCTCGGGGTGGAGCTGGGCAGCCAGGTTTTATTTACTACCTTAGGAGAGGGAAAATGAAACAAGGGGCGGAAGTGAAGGACGTGCTGTCTTAGTTACTTTTCTTGTTGCTGAAATACCCAACACCCAAAGATAAAGGGCCAAAGGTTTATTTAGCTCCAGTTTGTAGAGGTTGCAGGCTGTCATTGGCTGGCTCCAGGGCAGGGTGGCTTGGCAGAGGGCCATGACAGAGGAGAACCAGTTCACGGCAAGCAGAAGACAGCAGAAGCAAGGGAGCAGGGGACCTTAACAGCAGCTTTCTGCCCCTTTTGTGTTACCTGGGCTACTTGGGGCAGGTAGCACTCAGCCGTTGATCCTAGTGTTCTGATCCTCTGAGAATCCGTATGAGGCTTTGGGCGGTGGGGGAGGAATCTAGGCACAAGCCGTAACATGTGCCTGGCCAGCATTTATATGTCCATTGTCGTTTTGTAGTAACTTTAGTGGGTGTTTAACATAAGCGTAGGGCCTAGCTCCTGCCTATAGGACCAACCCTGAGTCCTGGTAGCAAACTCGCTTCCACTTGAGGTTTTTCCTCTGCCCACCTTTGCAACTGAGGCTGTTTTATGTGCTTGCAGGTTGAGAATCCTTATCCAAAATGCTTGGGACAGAAGTGTTTCATTTTCTAGATTTTGGAATATCTCAGGGATGGGATATCTAACATAAAATTCATTGATGTTTTATATACATTTTTTACCTGTAGCCTAGAGGCAATATTTTAAATAATTTTGTGCATGAGAAAAAATTCATAGTGTGGCATTTCCTCATTGACACTCAAAAAGTTGAATTTTGGAGCATTTTGGATTTGGAGTTTTTGGATTAGGGGTACTCTGTCCCTATTTCTCAAGGTCTGAAACTGCCCTCTGTCTTTCCATCACAGGCAGGACAAACTGTCCCTAGGCTCACCTTTCTCTGTGGCTCTGATGCTTCCCAGCAGGCTTTTCCTTAAGGAAATGGTCCCCTGTCTCCTGCCTACCTTGTATGTGGCCTCAGAGCCCTCATGGCTACTGCACAATCCTATGGGCCTTGGTGACCATCCATGTCCCTCTGAGGGCCAGCTCTAAGACCTAGGTTGGCCAACCCCGTTTTCTCCCTCAGGCTTCTGTATATTTGATTATTTGAATCTAATTCAAATTCAATGTAATTCTAGTTTAGTTATGAAAAGTTCCCAAATTCAGGTTTGTCAAGTGTAATACTAATACCATTCCAACACTAATGTGGTTTTGCTTGAATAATCTGGATATTTCCAAGGGTCCCTTTGGGCTCTGTCTTGGTCCCCATCATGGCCCCCATCTTGCTCCCTGTCTTGGTCCAGGGCTGGCATGGCAGGCCCAGGAATCGAACTCCTGGATGCTGCGTCTGCCTAAGCAGGTGCTTTAATCCGCTGAGCTATTTGGCCAGCCCTTTAGGATGCAGCATTTGTGAGCCTTTAAGTCCTCATCAACTGAACCATCTTCCACCCCTGGTGTGAGGATTGTGAAAGTGATTATAGCTCATTATATAAGTGCAGATATATTCCAAAATACACAAAAGTCCAAACTCCAAAACATTTCTGATTTCAAGAGTTTCATATAAGAGGTACTCAGTTTGCCAGAAGTTGTAGCACATGCCTGTAATCCCAGCCCTCAGGAAGAGTCCCAGTAGTTTGGGCTACATAGTGAAACTTGTCTCAAAATCAACAAAAGCAAAGTAAGAGACATTTGTATGGTTATTAGTAGTAATAGCTATAACATGAATGAAATTAACTTCAATATGACCAATATTTAATAGTCTTATTTAATACAAGTTGGTACTACATTATTACTTTAATGTTTTGTTTACTTAAAATTAACATTAATATACAGAACAAAGACTTCCTGATCTTTTGCATTCAGTAATGAGTCGTTTAGCCCTCTCCAGCCCCAATATTATATTTCTAAGGAGTTTCCCTTCAAAAGGAAGTCAGATGTAACTTTAAATATAAGCTGCATATAATCTTAATCTGTCACTATGGTTGGAGTGCCCCAGCAGCATCTTTGGCTGAAAGAATGACACTACTTTGGTCACATTTGGGGCCCATATGTGGCATTATTTTCAGAATTAAGACAGAAATTTTGGCTTTGTATGTCTGAACCCAGCTGTGAGTAAGCGTTTCTAGCCCCATCTGGATGCAGAAATGACCTTACTGCAGTGTGTTTTGACTGCAAGTCTGAAGTCAGGATCACGACCCTCAGGTCCACAGAGAGAAACCTCACTTCTCACCACGCTCCGGGGCTCTGCCGAGAGCGCCTACTTATGGCCTCTGCTTGGCTGAGCAGGCTGCCGATCACACTTCTGTGGCAAGATGCTTTGCCAATGGACCACGCCTTGGTGTCAGTAGATGTGGTGACTAGACATGCAGTAAGCCAGGAAATGCAACCCCTCCGCCAAATTCTGCTCTTCTGTCAAAAGAAGAAGAAACAGTTGTCAGCCAAATCCCTGCATGGAGGGGTGAGAGCAGCCCAAGAGAGGCCTTAGACCGGTACCCTCCTACACCCATCCACGAGAGATGCTCACCTTGGCCCACACAGCAGGTGGCTCTCCTGGTTACCACCTGCTCAGAAAAGGAATGAAATATTTCCCTGGAGAGGGGCAGGAGGAGAATCGCCAAGCTTATGAAAATGAGCTATTTGGAAAAATATCTTTTGAAGAGCTTTGTTCCAATTTGAGACATGTAGTAGTAATGGACCCACATGCGAGAAAGCTGCTGGGCTTCCAGGCCTTGGCCTTCTTCACATACATCGAGTCATTCCTGTGCTGAAACTGTCCATTTCACGTCAGGCCCCGGATGCTGAGGACAGTGGCATTTTCCGTGTTTTTCTCACTAGGAAGCCATTTGTCAAAGATCCTGCAGGAACAAAATGCAGGTAGATACTGAGCTTTGAACCCAGAGCCAGGTGGCTCTGAACCCATTGCCCCACCTCATGGAACACTAAGTCCACCTTCGAGTCTGCATCTAAGAGGATTTTGAGTAGAAATTTTAAAGAAAAACAAAAATGCTTACTATAACCCCTTTCAATAAAGCTTAAAAGCTCTGATCATTGTCACATGAACCACACGGTTGAAGAAACCTAATTTCCAAATAGACCCCAAAGAACCAAATCTTAAAGTGAGACAGAATCACTGAGCTGACATCTTGTGATTCTGTCCCCTTCACTTCTAGGACATTTATCTGTGTCAAAAACAGTCCCATGTGCTGTGTGCAGGTTAGCTCAGCGGTCTTCACAACTACCTAAGAGGGAATTCAATTATTCTGCCCACTTGACAGAAAAACTCAGTGTCACCCAACCACAGCCAGGGAGACATGGAGCTGGCCTAGCGGTGGGCACTGGCTCTTCTGGAACCATCTGTGCCCTTCCCTCCTTTGCGACTCTCTTGCACCACCCAGGCTCTCGATGGACTTCAGGCAGGATAACACCTGCACCCTAACCACATTCTCTGAGCCCCACTTGCCTGGAAACAGGGTCTTAGTTAGGTAGCCCAGGCTGGCTTTGAATTTGCAATGCTATCTGAGCCTCCCAAGAGCCAGGATTACAAGCATGGGCCATCATTCTCAGCCTAGAAGCTTCTTAATGCAGAAATGACGAAGACCGTGTTTTGACTGCGTTTATTTTGATATTTGGGGACCATGACTAGCTGCAAAGCCATGAGGCTTCTACAGTGATGCCAAGAGAACAAGATATTTCTGTCCAGTCTCCTAGCAGATGACAGTGGTGGGGTCTGAGACTTCTGGCACTTGGCCTGGAGGCCCCCTGCAGTGTCCCTTGGAGCCACTGAAATGAAGCACTGCTTCTAAATTGTCGTTGTTTTTTTTTTTATTTAACAGGCGCTTGAATAATATTGTTTGGCAAGCATTATCTCAAGAGGAGAAAGAAAAGTAAGTCATCCCATTTCTTCTCCCAATTCTTTTACTCCAGGAAATTCATGTAAGCAAAATTAACCATTTTGATTTATTTATTTATTTATTTTTAATAATTTTACTGAGAAACAAATAGCAATGAGACAGTTTCAAAACCGATTAATAGGACAGTTTCAATAATTAATACATTGCACATTGTTGTCTTCTTAGTGGTTATTCATAGTACAAGATGCAGACATGATATCCTGTCCAAACACTATTAGTACAAATCTTTCTATTCACTGAATTAAGAGAAAGTAGCTGTATATCTATCCTAATTATTTTGAATATACAGATATGAAATGGTCCTTCATTTGTATCCCCTTTCTTGTTTAGTTTTGTCAGAGGTGGGTATTCCATTGTCATTTAAATATTGTATGTGCATGAATTCAGCAAAATATTCCAATATAGTCCAGAAGCATACCATACAGTGGTGTTTATTCAAATGTGCAGTTAATTTCTCCCCGCTTCTAGGTTCATGACATTTCACCACTTGGTGAAAAGTATCTTGCACTCTTGAAGCAACTATTTCCAGTTTCCTTTTCCCTGTCCCCTGGTAGCCACTAGTCTGATTTCTATGAATTTGCCCTGCTGGAATTTGCCTATTACATGAGAGGAATCATGCAACATGTGACACTGCTGGTGTCTGACTGCTTTTATTCAATGTAAAAGCTTAATGTTTTCAAAATTCATCCAACTTATTGTATGTACTAGCTATATATCTATGGAACTTCCAGAAAGTTCTGAATACACACACACACACACACACAGAACTTCCAGAAGGTTCTGAATACACACACACACACACACACACACACATACACACACATGGACCTTCCAGAAGTTTCTGAATACACACACACACACACACACATGCATATATACACACTTTTTGGCTATCTTAAATACTGTTGCTGTATTTGTATCAAAGTTCCATGTGAACATTTGACTTCATTTCTCTTGAGTGTATACCTGAGAGTGGATTGGCTGGATATGTAGTAATTCTGTGCTGGACTTTTGGGAAGGCTCCAAAGTCCTGTCACGGGGGCTGCACTACTTTGTGTGTCACCGGCAGTGTACAAAAGTTCAGCTCCTCCGTGGGACAGTTTGCAGGCTTCTCTACACAGGTCTGTAGAAAATGACGTGTTTATTTTAAATCATTTCTGTGGAAGAATTACTTCCTCGTATTAGCACCTAACAGTTACACATTTTTGTTGTGGCGGCTGAATGATACTTCCTCTTCTAACATTGTTGGTATAGTTGCCAGGACATTTATTGATGAATACTTAACAATGTAAAATATTAAGATGAATGTTTTGTTTATATTAAGTATACTATATCATGGCCAAAAAGTTAAAAGTAAAATCATCCTTGTGGTGTAAGTGCTACTGCACTGTGATCCTCATACACATTTTCTAATGACCAGTGAAAATGAACTTCCCGCATGCTCTTGATTTCTCTATCTTTGGAAATATCCATTCAAGTCTGTTGTCTGTTTTTAAATCGAGTTGTGTTTTTGTAGTTGAGTTGCCTTTTGGATATTAAGCGCTTACCAGATACATGAGTTACCCACGTTTCCTCTTGTCCCATAGATTATATTTCACTTTCATGATAATGTCCTTTGATGCCTGAAAGTACTAATTTTGGGAAAGTAATATTTTCATCATTTTTTCTTTTGTAATTCATGTTGTTGCTGTCAAATCTAAGAACTCATTGCCAGGTATGAAGTAATGAAGTTGTTTTCTTCTGTTGATAGTTTTAGCTTCTTCATTTAGGTTGTTGGTTAATTTTTTGTAAGTTCTATGCATAGAGTGAGGCCTTCTAGGATACTAGGACAGATGCTGTGGACTAGCATAATGGTCTGTCCTGGGAAAAGTTCAGTGTGTTAAGAATGATATTCTGCTGGCGTGTGTCTATTGTCTGATTTGTTTACAATATTTCCTTGTCTCCCTTTCCCCTTTTTGGTCTGTTGTTAGAATGCTATATTCATGACTGAAGGTGAAATGTTCCAGCTAGTTTTGTACAAGTGCCTGTCTCTCCTGTAATCCTGACAAAGATTGCTTTATTTGGGGCTTGTCTTGTTTACTTTTCTCATTGCTAAGACAAAATACCCAACACCAAAAGTTAGAGGAGAAAAAGCTTATTTTGGATCACAGTCTGTAGAGGTTTTATTTCATAGTCTGCTGGCTCCAAGGCAAGAGTGATATGGCAGAGGGGAATGGACAAGAAGAAACAGCCCGTGGCAGAGCAGGGAGAAGGCGGCAGCAGCAGCAGCAGCAGCAGCAATAAGCATGCCTTTCCCTTTCATCCTATCCAAGTTACAAGCATTTGGGGGAGTGCGATCCACACCCAGGGTGGGCCTTTTATTATCCACATGCAGAATTATGACAAACCAATCAGTGGACTAACTTATTGATGACACATCCTTAATCTAAGTTCACACTGTATAGATACATCTACCTCTAAAACGTTTCCCCTTTAAGCACATGAAGCTTTGGGAGACATCTAAATATAAACCCTAACAGGTTATAAAGATAGATGTCTATATCTTTACAATTTCTAGATCTTCCTGATGATTTGATAGCTTTTTATCAACAGATATTTTCCTTTGCTTCTTATAACAATTGACACTTAAAACCTATTTTTCCCAATAATAGTAAAACTGCTGTAACTGTCCTTTGATTAACATTGCATAGAATATTTTTTAGCATCTTTTTTAAACGTATTTAGTGCAGGGTCTACAGAGTCTCACTATGTAGATCAGACTCATAATGATCCTCCTGTTTTCAGCCTCCCAAGGGCTGGGATTACAAGTGCACACCACCACATCCAGTCTCAGTTACAGTCAGCATGCCGCAGGGGCAGGGCTGGCAAGGCTTGTGGTGCTGGGGATCGAACACTGGCCCCCGCACTCTGCCTAAGCAGGTGCTTTAGTCTGCCAAGCTATCTGACTGGCCCCAGCTTTTCTTTTTTTCTTCTCCCCTTTTTCCCTTTGGAGACAAGAGTCTTGCTGTGTACTTCAGGCTAACCTTAAAGTTGCAGTACTTCTCCTGCCTCAGCCTCCCCAGGGTTGGGATTACAGGCGTGTGCCACCACATCTGGGTTTGCATCCTTTCATTTTCATGTTTTTATTATTATTTATTTCTTTTTATTTTAGGGAAGGGTCTACAGGATGTTCAGGGTCTTACTACTAGATCAGACTTATAGTGATCCGCCTATTTACAGCCTCCCAAGAGCTGGGATTACAGGGGCGTGCCACCATGCCCAGTCTCAGTTGCTGTCTCAGCCCGCCCCAGGAGCAGGGCTGGCCCAGCAGGCTGGGGGATAGAACCCCCAGCCCTTGAAACGTCCTTTCTTTTTCAATCTCTTTGTGTCTTTGGTTCTAAAGAGACATTTTTCATCAGCATACAGTTGGCTCTTTATTTTTCATTCTGTCAGTTTTTGTCTACTAATCGGACAGATAAGCTTAATTAAAATGATTTTTTTTAAAAAAAATTTTATTTATTTATGTATGTATGTGTGTGTGTGGCCAGCTGAGCCCACCAGGGGGCGGGGCTGGCTGGCATGTGGTGCTGGGGGATTGAACCGCGGCCCTTGTGCTTTGCTAAGCTTGTTCTAAGTAGGGGCTTTAGACCACTGAGCCATCTCACCAGCCCCTAAAATGATTAATAATAACAGAAGGCTTAGGTCTACCTCTGTGCTGTTTCTTTTGTATATGACATATATTTCTATTCTTCACTTTCTCTTCTTACTGCTTGATTTTTTCCCTTACATTCTATTTTGTTAATTTTAATTTTTTATTGTTTATTGGTATAATTTATGTATACACAAATGACCATATTCATCATTGGGAATTTGTACCTGTATCTGATGTATCCTGATTCCACTTCTTTTCCCAATCCCCCCCCCCAGCTCTCCTTATTTAAGGAGCTTTGTTTCTCTTCTATAATTCTTTTTTTTTTTTTTTTTACAATACAAAGACCTATTTTTTATTTCACATCAAAGAGGCCTGGAGACTACTAATACTGGTACCATAGATGTTTTATTTTTTTCATAATTTTATTGAGAAATCAATAGCAATGAAACAGTTTCAAATCAAATTGGTAGGACAGTTCCAATAATTAACACATTGCATACTGTCTTCCTAGTGGTTATTTGTTGTACAAGATGCAGACATGATATCCTATTTACAAACACTATTAGAACAAATCTCTCTATTCATTAAGAGAATGTAGCTATATATCTATCCTACCTATTTTGAATACAGAGATACAAAATGGTCATTCATCTGTATCCCCTTTTTTTGTTTAGTTCCGTCATTTAAATATTATAGGTGTGTGAACTCAGCAAAATATTCCAAAATTGTCCAGTAGTACATAATAGTATTGGTTCTTCCACTTGACTGGCAATGTCAGAAGTTGTTGACCTGAGTCCCCTACAGCTCAACATAACAACATGGCTTTACTTCTTATACTTCATTTTTATACTTTTCTGTTGAATGGTTAAGACCAAGATAAAGCATGGTATATATGGTTAGATTCCTGGACTTATGTGTAAACATATATAATTCTTTATTCCTATTTTAAAATATATTTTAATTTTTAAATTTTTTTGTCATATTCTGTAGGGACTTAAAGTTTAATATATCAATACTTGATGAAAAATGCCTGTTCCATGTTATGCCTAAGATGTTTGATATTCAGACAGATAGTGAGGTTAAGCTCAACAGCATAGGTTGTATAGTAATAACAATAAGGTTCTCTTCTGGAGGGTTAACATCCTAAGTTTGCAGACCAAAAATTAAAGAAAAAAAGAGGACCACAAGGAAAGCCAACATTTTGGCCCTAGCCTTCCAACGTCAATTAAGACTCAGGACATCTGAGAACTTGTACTGTAACATCATGTAACTCAGTTGTGCCCCAAATTTTCTGATCAAGGAGATTATGGAGCCAAAGAGGAAAGTGATCAATGATGTAGAGTGTGCCTGAGGAGAGTCACATGGAGAGAAAACATTCTCTCAGGCTTTCACAGAGAGCAAATTGGCCAAGCAATGGCCATGACTTATCCACATGGCTGACATGACAAAGGATCTACAATCTGAGGTAAAGGGTCTCAGGATAAATCCTGAGGGGATTTGACTGACCTTATCAGATCCAAAAGCTACAATTCTTATGTTCTATTTTCATCACTTCATTTCCTATATATTCTGCAACCATTTCTTAGTGGTTCTCATAGGGATTTCTGCTGACATCATAAATGTATAGTAATCTGTTCGAAATTGATGTTTAGTTTCAACAGCAGATACTAACCCCATTCCTGTTCAACTTCAACCCATTCATTTACCTATTTAACATGATGTATTACATCTTTTATATCATGTGTTATTAACATAGATTTGTGGTTATATTTTGTGCATTTATCTTTTATATGATATACAAAGCAAAAGAGCAGTTGTGTACCAACATACAAGAATACCATATTTTTGTATTTTTATACTTTTCTATGTTGTTATGATTACCAATCATATGTATTTCTTTTTGTGGCTTTGAATTACCCTTTGATATACATTTATTTCAATATGAAAAGTTCTTTCTGGCATTCTTGTGAAGAAGTCTACTAGTAGTGAATCCCTTCACTTTTATTTGTCTGAGAATGTCTTATTTTCTCATTCATTTTTAAAGGATTTTTTTCATACATATTTTTTTTTAAACATTTGATTTTTTTTTAATTTTTATTTATTTATTTGTGTGTGTGTGTGTGTGTGTGGCCAGCTGAGCCCACCAGGGGGCGGGGCTGGCTGGCATGTGGTGCTGGGGGATGGAACCGCGGTCCTTGTGCTTTGCCAAGCTTGTTCTAAGTAGGTGCTTTAGACCACTGAGCCATCCCACCAGCCCCCATAATTTTTATTGACAGTGTTTTCTTTCAGTACACTACATCTGTTGTCCCATTTCCTTCTGGCCTCCATAGCTGGTGAAGAAAAATCAAATGTTACTCTTGCTTAGGAACCCTTATTCATGTCAAATGCCTTTTGTCTTGGTTCTTTCAAGAGTCTCATTGTTTTTCTCAACAGTTTGATTATAACATGCGCTGGTGTAACTTTCTGAATTTATCTTGTCTGCCATTTGCTGAACTTGTTGGGTATGTAAATTTGTATCTTTCACCAAATTTGGGGAGCTTTCAGTCATTATTTCAACTCTCTCTCTCTCTGTCTCTCTCTGTCTCTCTCAAATGTTTATGCTGGGAAGTTTAAGTTCATGGTATCTGTTATGATTTGTGTCTACTTGTCCCCCAAAAGCCTCGTGAATCATGAGGCAGCCTTTTAGAGTTAATTCATGATTAATTCATGATCCAGTGCTGGGATTATGGGTGTGAGTGCTGCTGGGATTATGGGTATGAGAGCTGCTGGGATTATGGATATGAGTGCTATGTCTGCCCTGGGGCAGAAAACATGGATGCAATATAAGGAAGGGAGAGAGGCTTGCCCTCCTCCTCTGCTGCTGCTGCTTCCCTCTTTGCTCTTTGCTGTTTTCTGCCACCATGAGCTTCTGCTTTCTGCCATGTGACACCCTGCCTTAGAACCAGCCAAGTATGGACTGTAACCTCCACAAACTGTAAGCTAAATAAACCTTTTCTTCCTTAATTTTGGGTGTCAGTTTATTCTGTCCCAGCAACAAGAGAAAAGTAACTGGAGACAGTCCCCCGAATCTTCCTTAGCCTCTGTTCACCTTTCTTCCTTCCCTCATTCTTTCTGCCCCTCAGACTTAGTGATTACAGCTGGCCGCCCTGTGAGCTCACTGGTTCACTCTTCTACCAGCTCTAAACTTGCTGTTGAATGAGCTTTTCATTTCAGCTATTGTACTTTCCAGCTTCAGTGTTTCTATTTGCTTCATTCATGATTTCTATTCTCTAATTGTTCACACACCTTCCTCGCTGTTTCCTTTAGTTTTCTGTTTATGGTTTCCTTCACCTCTTCGAGTATATTTAAGACAGTTAATTTAAAATTTTTGTCTAGTAAATCCAGCATCAGGTTTTTTTCTCCAATTTTTTTTCCTGCAAATGGGACATTTCCTGTTTCTTTGTATGCAAATTTGGAATGCTGGGGGTTGAAGTGAACATTTTTGGTATTATAGTGTGGAACCACTGAAAATCAAACTCTTCTCTCTCTTCATCAGTCATTGTCATTAATGAAGGCCACAGTTGTTTTTTAGTGTTTTCCAAAACTGTTTTTACAGAAACAATTTATTATTTATATTCAAGAAGCCCCTCTTCAATTATCTCTGTGGCCTTGACAGAGATTTTTCCTTGAACACCATGTCTTTCTACCTCAAGCACTCTTCTGAAAGCTATGGGCTTGCTCTAGGCTCAAGAATTTCCAAAAAGATCACCACATTGGGTAATGAGTACAAGTACCAACAATAATTCACAAGCATGGTTGTTTTTCATTTGTCCGAGCTACCGACATCCTGATGGACCAGAGGGCGTGACTGTGACTCTCTTCTGATATCTGACATTCAACATTTAGCACATGTTCCCCAGGAGATAGTTTCTCATTTTTTGCTATTACAATCATTTGGTTTTTCTTTTTTTGTTTTTAGGTTAGATGCTGTCAAACCACTGCAGTACCTAGAAAACAAGGCAGCTCTCAACAAGGCCTTAGAGCGGTCAAACTGGCCCATTTCACTGGAAGAGCTGTCGCTCCTGGAAAATGAGATCCTGGCTGGGAAGATGTACATCCAGCAGGCCATGGAGCTCCAGGAGGCCTCCAAGAAGAACTGCGTGAGCCAGGTCCCAGCGGAGGTGGGCACTTCCTCCCCATGCCTGCCCCATGTCATCACCAGCCCTGCACTGTCCTCCCCTCTCTCCTTCCTACCCTCCGCCATGCTGATTTCTGAGAGTTGCAGTGGGGTCTCAGCACATTTTCTAATCGTACAAGAAAATCCACTTGGCCTTTATGTTATTTTTTTAAGCAACACATCTTTTGATTGAAAAACAAAACTAAATAGAAGTGCAAATATTAAAGGCCTAGACTTTGATCAGAGCCCAGGTGTCACCTCAGATCTGGGTAGTCTTAGCTGGTTGCTTAGCTCCTTTCTTATGTGTAAGGCAGGAGTACTAATAGTTCCTGCCTTCCAGTGTTGTTATGAGGATTAAACAGCCATTTTAAGTACTTGGTATTAAAAGCCCCACATAATAAAAGCAAATCTAAAGAGTAAACGCAATTTATTGTCTAAATGCCTTACTAGCCTACTTTGGGGCATTATCTTATAGGTGTTATTCTTCCTCAATTAAATGTTTTTACACAGATATAGTCAGAGACTCTACTCATTCTCTACTCTGCTTTTTAGCTTTTCATGATTTCACAGAATTTCTCTGTGCTTTGCTGAATCTTCAGATTGAGATTTTTTTGGTGGTCACACAATATTTCACGGTGTGTGGATATGCTAGTGTATGAAGGTCTTCCTGGAATGTTGGTTTTTGGGCTTTTTCCTAGTTTTCTGTTCTTTTTGATATTTTTGTGATGACTCTGGTGCATTTGGTCGAATTCTTTTGTAAGATACAATCATAGGGCCGGGGAGATGGCTCAGTGGAATAAGCACTTCCCTGGAAAAGCTCAAGGGCCTGGTTCAAGCCCCAGTTCCGCAAAAAAAAAAAAAAAAGATACAATCATAGGAATGGTTTGCCTGGACCAAATGGCATAAGTATTTGAGGGCTCAAAACAGATATTTCCAGTATGACACCCTCGTTTCTAACTGTGCCTGGGGGGGTGCATGCTTTTATCCTTTTATCTGTGCTTTAAATTTGAAAATAGTAAGTGTTTCAAATGGGGCAAAAAGAAGCTTTTGTGAATCAGAATGGAGATGGTATATTCTACTGAATTTGTCCAGGATTCTGGCAACAAGATCATTGTTCACAGGCTATGAATTAATTTATTCCTTCATTCTCTTTCCACAAAATGAAAATAAAAATAATTTCTGTAATTTCTTCATCTAAAAACATGCCTTCACCTCCTCCCATGGATAAGATTCTGCATGGCACAGGTGCTCCCAGGCAGGGAGTAGCCCAGGTCATTCTGTCCTTGGGGTCTTCCAACGTGATGTGTTCACCACAGTGAGCATTGGTTGTACACAGCCTAGTGCAGGAGATGTGTTACAACCAAGCAGAACAGAATGTAGCATCCCTGATAGCCAAGACCTTGGCCAAATTTGGATGCATAGGAATTGGGGGCTGGGGCATGAGAAACATTCCATGTGAAAGAAACAGACAGTATAGAGGCTGAGAAGTGGAGAGGAAGGTGCAGTGCTCACCCAGGGTGTGGCCAAGGACACACTATGAAGGGACAGTGGCATCAGGGACTTACGCCTGTAGGAAATGGATGACAGGGAGTGGTTTCCAGGAGGTAAAAGACACTGAGAGATTTGTGTCTTAGAAAGGTTATCTTAGTGGCATATGAGGCTGGGGAGAGGGAGATCAAAATCATGTGTGGCCCTGTGTCGGGGGTGTTTGGTCCTTGAGGAAGAAAGATCAATGGGGAGGGCAGAGGTCAAAGAGAAGTGAGTTGTTGGAAAGTCAGGTGCTGGAGTGAGCCAGAAAACAATGTTGAGAAGCTCCACAAAACATCTTGTGTTGGACAACTCAAGGGACAGGGTTGGGATTAACCACTTCCCCTACACCTGTGCCAGAGAGACAGGTGTTCCCTGGCCAACCTATCTCATCACCGTGTCATTCTGTGACCTTTATCTCATTTCTCTTTCTCTCATGGCTCATTTCACCACCTGGCTTGACATACTTATGTGTTTATGGCCCAATTCCTCTACTAGATCAAGTGTTGGCCTATTGTGTTGTAGGAACTCTCACAGCCGGAAGTAGTGGTTGGCACTGTTAAGACACTGATGGAGACTTTGGTAAAGAAACAAAAGACCAAAGAAGAAGGGGAAGAATGAGAGGAAGGGTGGATTGTTAGGACAAGGTTATTTGCTTTCAGTTCTTGAGATTCTTACAGTGTCTACAGGGCATCCAGGTGAGAAAGCTGACAGTCAAATGTTGGGAGCTCAAGGGACAGGGCTGAGTGACAGATCGACTTGGAGTCCCTTGAAGCTAGTGCTGAGAGAAGGAAGAGATAATGGATGGGACCAAGCTGAGGAGTTTGAGAAGCAGGCACCTGGGGTAGAGAGCTATGATGTGAGAGCCGAGGAAGGGTTAAGAGCCCCAGCTCTGGAGTGAGGCAGATCTGAGGCAGATCTCACCTCTGCCATGTTGTGTTGTGTGGCTTTAGTGAGGCCCTCAGGTCCTCAGAGTCTCCTCATACCTAAGAAGGAAAAGTCAAAGACGGCTGTGAGGAAAAGCATATCCCTAGGGCAGCGGGGGGGCATTCAGAGCCAACAGCAAATGCATTCCACGCACGTGTTGTGCATAAAGTTCTTACAGAGGGTTCTGGACTCCTACGGAATGGTGTCTGAAAGCCGTTTGATTTGCCAGGAGGGAGCTCATTCGTGACATCAGCCTGAGAGTGTCAGGGAGTTGTGGGAACAGTAAGGAGTGTGCAGTGAGTGGGCAAGAGTGGAGGAAATCAACACGCGGAGCTCGGGCTTCGTTTCCAGATCTTTGTGGGAAAGGCCAGGAGGGGGACTGTGAGGGTGTGAGGGAGGCGAAGGGTCTCCTGGGTGTGCCACTGCATCCTCCAGGCTCAGGGCAGGCTGGCCCTGCACTGTCCGTCTCCACACAGGGTGTCCGAAGCCCCCCTTTTGTCTCCCAGGGAAGGTCCCTGTGCTCAGGCCAACTGTCCACATGAAATGAGTGGGGAAGGGCTGTCTTTGGAGTTTCTTCTACCCTCAGCATGTCTTCTGCTGAGAAGACGACATGGTTCTTCAAATCTGGAAGATTTGATATTTTCTTGCCCTCTTGTTATGAGGAATGTGTGATATATTTGGCAATTTTTAAATTCCGTTTTTCTGTGTCTCACTCATTTGATTTCAGATCAACCTGAAAGTGAAAAACTTTGGTGGGAGCAAAGCTCAGGCCTTCAGGGCCACACTGTAAGGTCTTTTAAGATCCTAGGGTGAAGACCTCACTGCTGATGCTATTCAGATTTACTCATTCATATATAAGTGGATCCTCATTTTAAATTCTTTTAGCAAAAGCCAAAGATTTTAATCAATGATGGTAAATTAGAAAAGAGACTTTCGGTTAATCACTAAGACCCCTACCAGCTATTAGAATGTCTAGCAGACGCTGACCAATGGTCCTTTGGGCAGAAATCCTATCAGCAGTGCCCACAGGAGTCCCGAAGGCTGTGGCCTCTGTACCCGACCCATTCCAGGACACACTCTGGAGTTTGGCGGTCTGAGGCTTTCTGATGCCCTCTCAGGAGTGATTCCAGCCCCCGACACACCTGCTCCCCTGGCTGCTGAGCTTGGGACAGATGCATGATTCTTCTGGCCGCGAAGTCCACAGGTGAGAGGAGGCATGGCTGCAGCTTCTGGGTGCGCAAGCCTGGCTTGCTCCCTACCCCGGGCTTCTGCTGCCAGCTCCTGGCTGGTGTGGCCCAGCCGAAGGTGAGAGCTGCTCCTCTCATGCGCTCTGCCTCACAGGCTGCACCTATGCTTGCCTGCATCATGCTTTGCCATATGATCCACTGACTCTACCCTGGAGACAGAAGCGTGGCTCATATAATGAAAGGATAAGCTTTTTTTTTTTTTTTTTTTTTTTTCCTGGAACCAAGGATTGAACTCAGGCCCTTGCGCTTGTCATGCAAGCACTTGTTCTATTGATACATCTCCCTAGCCCCATGAAAGGAGAAAGAGTAAGTCTAAAATTGTAAATTTTTACTAAAAACTCCCCCTCTTGTTAGCATGGTTGTAGATTTTACCCTCATTGGCCAATGTTGAACCCTCAAAGCTGAACAAGCGCATCTGTGAATTGTTGTTAACCTCCCATAGTCTCCCTAAAAACTTGAGCTGAAGCCTCCCAGATACGCTGTTCTGAACATGGTCTTAGCAAACACAGGCTGTTCCCCAAGCGAAGCCTACAGAATCCAGACTGGAATCATCCCAGGACTTCACATCCTTCTCACTGACCACTTTGGGAAATGTGAAGGCAGAAAATCACTTGCAATTTGAAAAATGAAAAGAAAGAAAGAAAGAAAGAAAGAAAGAAAGAAAGAAAGAAAGAAGAAAGAAAGAAAGGAAAAGCTAAAGAAAGCATTGGAAGCTAGGCATGGTGGTGCACGCCTGTAATGGAAAGCTGAGGCAAGAAGATAGCTGCAAGTTCAAGGCCAACCTGAACTGCATGGTGAGACTCCCTGTCCCAAAAAGATGGAAAGAAAGAAAAGAAGGCAGGAAAAGAAAAGAAAAAGGCACTGGCAATGGGCCCACAGAGCTGGATGAGCTCCTGACAGTGAGGAACTTGGAGCCTGTGACCCTTGGAATGGTGACTTGGATGCTCCGCTCCACAAAAGGTTGTCCTGGAGAAAGAGTGTTAGGAAAGCTCACATGAGGGGTGCTGAGGCTGGGAGCATTGTGTTGGCTGCGACTTGGACATTATGCATACAGGATGTTACAGGGAGGCTCAGAGGAAAAGTTCTTTGAGTTATGTAAAAGTAAATCATAACTTAGACAGTGGTTATCTTCATTCTCAAACAGGGATCAAATCAATTGCCATTTTACATCATAGCCCATTCTTTTATAGTGTTCCTGATCTCTTCTTTAGAAAGTGATATCACACCAGCCCTGTCTTCTCACAAGTAAAGTCTTCAGTCTGTTCTGCTGCTTTCTGGGTCTGATAGGAAGATGAGCTTCCGG